TTCAGAGGGCTGTCTGATACCTTTTTCAGTGTTTCTGGTGTATATAACATAAGGGAAGCAGGACAGAGGAAAAGACGGTCCTCTAAACTGGTTTGGAGACTGATTCTGCTTGGCTGCTTTTATAAACTGGGGACGATGCAGGCTTGGTTGAAAAGACACGATGGCTTGTGGAAATTTCCTTCAGGATAGGAATAGCAAGCAGTTAGAAGGGAGATAAAAGTATTTTCTTTTTCAGAGCAAGGAGTGGAGGGGTGGTAACATTCTTGCAGTCACTTTATCCTTCTGGCCACCTGGTCTTAACTTGGTTTCCTAGCCACCCCTTATTTTTCCATTCCCAGGCCCAAGTGCCTATACTGTCTAACATCTTTCATAATAACCTTTACTATGAGACAGCACATGATTCTCTATAACGTGTGGTCTCTTTCTTTGCAATGAGTACTAAAAGGAATTTGGTAAACTACAAATGTGTTCCCAGTGATCTGTGGCTGGAAGACATTGACACTGAGTAGGCATATATATGAAAGAGAGAAAAAAATGTGGTCTGGCTATGGGAACATTTTTACATCTTTCATTTTCCAGCACACATGGTTATTGCCTTGGTTCACCCTGATTTATTAAACCACACTTCTAATCCATTTGAAATGGTTTACCTTTCTGTTATTACATTTGTTTGATTGCTTGGCATGTTTCACAGTTTAGTGCTGAGCTATTCATGACGTCTACATATTGACTGACAGTCACCTTTCCAGAGTAAAACACTGATGTAACATTAAAATGTCAGATTATACCATTTGTGTATACATTTGAATCTTGCAACACTGATGATAAATATTTAATGCTAAACATTAAAGGGGTAATTAGGAATTTCTGAAAAAGTATAATGTACTTTGTAAATAATGACTTTTTTTTTTGGTTTAATGAAGTTGAAAATTAGACATTTAAAACAACCAATGCACGCAAATGTAAGACTTCAACACCACATTAATTTTAAGAATAGATACCATATTAACAGACTGACACAATCTCCCAAACACAGACTCAGTACTGTTTATGTGAACAAACTCTTACATAATAAATGAAATCAGGGGCACCTTTAAACAGTACATAAAATAAAACATAATTTTCCCAAACATACTTATAACTCCACTCCATTAAAGAAAATAGAATAAAAAAGTGGTATTTGTCTTGCATTCATAATAACTACAATTGTTACTTCATAAAAAGTGTTGAAATGAGTATAAATTAAAAAGGCATTATTTGTATAACAGAGCTCCTTCGAACAGACCATTCAAAATGCTCCCATTTGAAGATTTTGTTAAAAGTATAGTCAAACAAAAGTACTTAGTCTTGTCAGAAATTAAATTTACGTTACAAAATGATCTGTTGCTGCTGTCAGAATTACCAGGTGATTACAGGTGATAAAATTTTCATTAGCAATGGTTTGTCATATTTGAAGCAAAGGATACAAAGAAATGACATAACTGGTACTTTATCATAAGTTTGATCTACTGAAGAAGATACTGTCATTAAGGGGTAAAATGGCTCATCAGTGAAAAAAACGTTAACTATAGTGTTAATGATAAAAGGACTTAAGCACATACAATAAAAGAGCTACTGGGAACAGAAGGATGAATGTATAAAAGCAAATGTACCTCCTGGCAAGCACTAAAAAGGTCCCCTGTATATATGAGACAGCTGTCCACTTATCATAAGAAAATTCATTTTTGGCTTTCACAACATTTAGAATAAATCCGCACCTGTTATGTTTTTTCAAACAAAGGATGAGTATTTTTTTTTTTTTAACTGTGGCTCCCAGCAGCCATCTATATTTAGGAATTATAACTTTATCAAACTTTGATTGCCTGGCACCACATACTCTTGGGCAAATTCATAGAAAGTCCAGGGTTAAGACACCTCAGTCCACTCTGAGGGCTAAATTCAGGTGTGCTGATCGAACGCATGTGACTTCTCTGCACTTCAATCCATGGACTTGCTGCTGACAGAACAAACACCCATTTTATCATAGCAGTCACCAGCTCAGCGACCTCCCATAACTCTCCACGGGCAACAGAATAAAGTTCTAAAAAACACTATCCTAATATTAAACTCCCGGATGGCTGGACCTCTGAGCCCACTGATTCCAACTTTAAGACTTGATACTCTCCAACATGTTTTCCTCTATCAAGAGCAAGGCTCCCTCACTTGTCCCATCTTTCACAGTGCCATCATTGAGAAGCAATTCTAATGAGAGAAATGTATCAGACCTGTCCTAACTGAGGTGGTTGTGCTGACAAAAAGACCTCAGAAGATACATAATATTGAAAGAACCTTTCATGCCGACTCCGCTGCTAAACTCTCAAGAGTTTCTGGGAAATCCATAAACTAAAAAAATTCTTAATTTGTTGCCCCATCGAGGTGATCAAAACAGGCTGTCTATAGGGATGGCATGGCAAACTGATCAGTTTATCTAGAAAATGTATAAGCAACATCCCCTAACTATTCTCTGCAATGTTGTCTCCTTCACTTTTTTTTTTTTAAATCCTCACCAGAGGACATTTTTGCATTTATCTTCAGATGGAGGGGGAGAGAAAGAGAAACATCAATGTGAGAGAGACACATCAACTGGCTGCCACCCACACAACCCTAACCGGGGCCGGGGACAAACTGCAACCGAGGTACATGCCCTTAGCGGGAACCGAACCTGGGCCTCTCTGGACCGCAGGCTGATGTTCTAACTGCTGAGCCAAACCAGCCAGGGCTGTCTCCTTCACTTTTGAAAGATAATTTCACAAGGTACAGAATTCTAGGTGAGTGTTGCTGTTTTTTGTTTTGTTTTTTTTCTCCTCTTAACACTTTAAATATTTCACTCCACTCTCTTCCTAATTCTGTGTTTGCTGAGAAGTTGGATGTAATTATCTTTGCTCCTCTATAGGTCAAGTAGATGTATTTTGACTTAACTTCAGCTTCTTTTAAGATTTTTTAATTTTATATTTTCCATAGTTTGAATATAATATGCCATGTATACAGTTTTGCTGATATTGCTGGGCCTCATTTTCAGTTTGTCAATTAAAAGTTTTGGGGCACAACCTTATCCCATCTACCCACCACAACAACACCATTACACCAAGTTGTAAGTATTGTGAGACCTTACTGATGAAGTAGAGGTAAGTAGAATAAGTGCCAATGTTGAGAGGTAAAAATGTGGGGCAATGAGTATGACTTTTTTTCAGTCCAAGTTAACCAAAGTGAAATATTTCACAGAGTTTCTCTTCATGGACCTCCACAGTTACTAACCATGAAAACCTGTACTCAGGTACATACTGAAGAGGAAACGTGCTTCCTTCCACCTCGACCATTCAACCCGACCCCCACATTTGTACAAGAAGATACAAATTGGTAGGCTAATATATATTCAATTATCTGGAATAGGGGTAGAAAATATACAAAACCTGAATGTTCCTCTTTATTCACTCATTTATTCACTCAGACAATATTTAGTATCTATTATTTACCAGGCACAGTTTTGGGCTTTGAGAATACAGCAGTGAACAATAAAATAGACAAGATAGTTCCTGTTAAGAAGCTCACATTCTACTGGAGGAGACAGACTATATACATTATTTTGGGAAAGTGCTATTGAGAAAAATAGAATAAGAAAGAGAAGGACTGAAGTATATGATATTTTATAGAGAGGTTACTGGGAAAGTTTCTCAAATAAGGTGATATTTAAGCAGGAACCTGAGTGAAGTGGGAAAAGGAATCATAAAAATATTGAGGAAAATAATGCTCAAAGCAGAAAGAATAGAAAGTGCAAAGGCTTTGCAAAGTCATAGGTCTGAGTGGTTTAAAAAATAGCAAAAGCCTGCCCTGGCCAGTTTGGCTCAGTGGTTACAGCATCGACCCATGGACCAGAGAGTCCCACGTTCAGTTCCCACAAAGTGCATGTACCTTGGTTGCAGTTTGTCCCCGGCCCCAGTTGGGATCGTGTGGGTGGCAGCCACTCGATGTGTCTCTCTCACATCGATGTTTCTTTCTCTCTCTTCCCCCCCTCCCTCCTGTTGTATGTGAAGATAAATGAAAAAAAAAAAAGTCCTCAGGTGAGGATAAAAAAATATATTAAAAAAAAGAGCAAAAGGATAATATACTCAACAGTGAAAAGTTGAAAGGTTTTCCTCTAAGATCAGGAACAAGACAAAGATGCCCACTATCACAATTTTTATTCAACAAAGTATTGAAAGTCCTAGCTACAATAATTAGATGAGAAAAAGAAATACAAGGCATCCAAATCAGAAAGGAAGAAGTAAAACTCTCACTATTTGCAGATCACATGATATATATAGAAAATTCCAAAGGTTCTACCAAAAAATTACTAGAACTAATAAATGAATTCAGTAAAAAAGTTGTAGAATACAAAATTAATATAAAGAAATCAGTTGCATTTCTACACACTAATAATGAACAATCAGAAAAAGAAATTAAGAAAATACTCCCATTTGTGACTGCCTCCAAAAGAATAAAATACCTAGGAATAAATTAACCAAGAAGGTGAAAGACCTGTAGTTTGAAAATTATGACACTGAAGAAAGAAACCAAAGAGGATACAAATAAATGGAAGAATATACTCTGCTCATGGATTAGAAGGACTAATATTGTTAAATTGTCCATACTACCCAAATCAATATACAATTCAATGCATTCTCTATCAAAATTCCAATGGCATTTCTTTCATAACTAGAACAAAACCCTAAAATGTACATGGAACTACAAAAGACCCCCAAAAGTCAAGGCAATCTTGAGGAAAAAAGAACGAAGGTAGAGGTATCATGCTGCCTGATTTCAAACTATACTACAAGGCTACAATAATCAAAACAGTATGATACTGACATAAAAACAGACACATAAATCAATGGAGCAGAATAGAGAGTCCAGAAATAAATCCTTGCTTATGTGGTCAATTAATATATGACAAAGGAAGCAAGAAGAAAAAGTGGGGAAATGACAGTCTCTTCAATGAGTGGTGCTGGGAAAACTGGAAAGATACATTAAAAAAAATCAAACTGGACTAGTTTTTTATACCATGGACAAGAATAAACTGAAAATGAATTAAAGACTTAAATATAATACCTGAAACCATAAAACTCCTAGACAAAAACATAGTCAGTAAACACTTTGACATCAGTCTCAGCAATATCTTCTTCAATATGTCTCCTTAGGCAAGAGAAAAAAAATAAACAAATATAACTACATAAATCTAAAAAGTTTCTGCATAGGAAAGGAAACCATCAGCAAAATGAATAAACAACCTACTGAATGGAAGAAGATATTCACAAATAATATATCTAATAACAGTATAATATCCAAAACATATAAAAGACTCTTACAACTCAACATCAAAAAAAGAAAAAGAAAAAGAAACACAAGCAATCCAATTTAGAAACGGGCAGAGGACCTGAATAGATATTTCTCCAAAGAAGATATACAGATGGCCAACATATATGAAAGGATACTCAAAATCATTAATCATCATGAAAATGCTAATCAAAACCACAATGTGATAATACCTCACAGCTGTCAGAATGGCTATCATCAAAAAGTCAACAAATAATTAGTGTCGGTGAGGATGTGGAGAAAAGGGAACCCTTCATATACTGGTGGTGGGATTATAAATTGGTGCAGCTACTGTGGAAAACAGTATGGAGATGCCTTAAAAATTAAAAATGGAACTGCCTTATGGCCCAGTGATTCCACTTCTGGGAATATATCTGAAGAAACCTGAAATACTGATTCAAGAGAACATATGCACCCCTATGTTCATTGCAGCATTATTTACAATAGCCAAGATCTGGAAACAACTCAAGTACACATCAGTAGATGACTACTACATCCTGTTTTTTTATAGTTTTTAATGGGGGGGGGGCAAATACATTTTTTATAAGATATTAATCATATTATACTACAGTTACAAGTCAAACTTTGATATTATCAGTACCTCAAATAGAATTTGTAATAATATAGTCTATATTTACTGTTCGCTAATACCAATATATCAATATATCTTTTTCAAGTTTGATGTCAGTATGTTTGTTTCATTAATGGCTTTAAGTTAAGAGCAACTGTAATTTAAAGTCTCATTTTAAGTAATACTCTTTTTTTTTCTAATCCTCACCAGAGGACATTTTCCCATTTTTTGTTCAGGTAGAGTGGGAGGGAGAGAGAGGAACAGAGAAAGAGAAACATCGACGTGAAAGGGACAAATCAAGTGGCTGCCACCCGCACAACCGACCAGGGCCGGGGACAAACTGCAACCGAGGTACGCGCCCTTAGCGGGAACCGAACCCGGGTCTCTCAGGACCGCAGGCCGACGCTCTAATCGCTGTGCCAAACCAGCCAGGGCTTAAGTAATACTCTTAATCTTCCCATATTTCTAAAGTTTAGATTAAATTTCAAGGATTCAGCATAAAACATAATTATTGTATGTTAAAACAACCCATTCTGAACATAGCAGGATTGTATGTGCTTGGAAGAGGGGAGCTGAATGGAAGTCAAAGAAACAACCAACATCAGTACTGTCCTTCTCATGACAATCAATGCTTATGATAAACTAAAAAATATATATATACTATTATACTAACAAATTAAATTTTTTTTCAAAGAGTTTAATGCTCTTCAAGTAGAAACTTATAGAGTCTCATTTCTTCTAAAGGGCACAACCAGGGAGTGCCTGCGTGAACACTGGAGCAGGTCTATGAACACATACTTTTTTCAGTAAACAGGATAAGGCAAAAGTAGGTTTACAGTTGTTTCTACAGAAAGTAATACAATGCCTGTAATACAAAAATAAACTCTGTGTTTCTCATACTCACAACTGTAAACCTACTTTTGCCACACCCTGTATGGACCTAATATGGCCTCCCCTCCTCCCATTATTCATGCAGCATTATTGAACTTAGTGATTTCTAACGTGACCGTCGCCAACAAAATGTAATATGTTGTCTAGTCAATTTTCACTTGATCTCAATTAATTATATACAAGGTTTGAGCAGTGTCACCAACATTTAATACTTGATAGAGCTGAAAATGCCATCAATTATATCAAAGCTATCTTTCATTTTTGGAGCATCTAAACATAATTTTTATCACTTATTCTTCAAAATAAATTGGAGAAGCATCTTTTATCATTTCTATTTTACATGTAAGAAAGCTGATCTTGAAGATATTAAGAAATACTTTTTTTTTTTTTTTTGCAGAACAGAGCATAAATGCTGTAGTCAAGTCTAAAATACATGAATTCTGAGTTTGATTCTGTGGCTCCTTCTACACTATCATACTACAACCTGTGATGATTTATTTAAAGAAAAAAAATTTCTTACCTTTGTGACAGTTTTTCCATATACTACGTCTGGTATTTTCATAATGTGTGTTTATCCAACTAAGAAGAATTCTTTCAGAATTAGAATATAAGTTGCTGGATACAAAACAAGCATTGACTTTTGGTGAATTCTGCATATATATAGCAGGTAAATCAGTTATGGAATGTGGTACAACCTGGGATAGCACCAGAACCTAAAATTGAGTAAAAGTAAGAATAAAACTTTTACTAGACCTGAATGGCAAAATAAAAATTTTAAGAGTAAATAAAGAAATATGACAGGTAGATAAATAAATGAAGGCATCACTATTTTCTGCTTAATTATATCTATTCAAGAGTAAAATAATATATAAGATATCCTCTAATGCCCATTCTAGTCTATAAGATACCATACTATATAATTTACAAGCAACAGCTTATTACCTAAGGATTCTGGTCACCAATTTCCAGTGTGTGGAGGGGGGTGGGGCGTAGAAGAGAGACTCTCCATCCCCTCTCAACCAAGCAATTCTCGTACACCAGCAAAGCCTCCAACAATCCAACTCAATTTTGACACTTCCACAGGTTGAGGGTTCAATCCTACAAGACTATGCCCCTCCACTACTTCAGATGCCAATCAAAAGCCTAGGGTGTTACCTGTGCTTTAACCCACCAACAATCCACTGGAGGTTCCAGTGACCCTCTCCATGACAATTGAATTCAGACAGCAGTTGAAAGTCTAGGTTGTTACCTATACTTTTGACCAACCAGCTACAAATCAGAGGTTTCGATTACCCCTTGTTGGGTCCCATTAATTAGCTAGAGCTGCTCACAGAACTCAGAGACATATTTTACTTACTATATCACTGGCTTATTATAAAAGAATTCAACTCATGAACAGTCAGATGGAAGAGATGCACAGGGCAAGGTGTGGGAAAGGGCACAGAGTTTCCATGGCCTCTCCAGGAGCAGCGCTCTCCACAAACCTCCACATGTTCACCAACCTGGAAGCTCTCTGAACCCTGTCCCTTCGGAGTTTTTATGGAGACTTCATTGAATACTCATGATTGATTAAATCATTGGCCACTGGCAATTGGGTCAACCTCCAGGCCCTCTCCCATTCTAGATCTGTGGGGTAAAACAGAGACTTCTAACCCTCTAATAAAAGGGGTGGTTCCTCTGATAATCAGCTCCCACAGTTAGGTGCTTTCCAAAAGCTGCCTAATTAACATAATAAAAGACACCTTTATCACTCAGAAATTCCAAAGGGTTTTAGAATCTCTGTGCTAGAAATGAGAATGAAGGCCACATATATGTTTGTTATTATAAATCATAATATCACAGTATATAATTATATATATTGAGTGTTATCCAATCAATATCATATGCACTTCCAATTCCACATTAATTTTGCTATTATATTTGGCTTATTGTTTTTCAATGACAGCTTTTTTAAATTATGTATTATTTTAATCTGTTTTTCCAATTGGCATAGAAAGCACAATTAATTTAAGTAGTAATCAGCAAAAGTCAGACCAAATTTAATTTTTAGAAGCTTACATTTCCATTGATCAGATTGTTTAAGTGGAAGGATATAGCTAATAAACATTGTTCAAATACACCATAAATGTTTAATACCATAACAGAACTTCTTACAGTCATTTGTGTCTAAATATTATCAAGATCACCAATTGGTTATAAAGAGAATATAACTGAATTCCACAGGGTAAGAATTATAAAAAGGAAAAAATAGGAAAAAATAAAAAGAAAGGAAGACAGAAAGCAAGACTGAAAAGAAACATTCAAGAATAATCATCAACAGCTCCTATCAAAGAGGATCACGAGGCCCTGGCCTGTTTGGCTCAGCAGTTATAGCGTTGGTCCACAGACCAAAGGGTCTTGGGTTCAATTTCAGTAAAGGGCACATACCTGGGTCGCAGGTTTGATTCCTCTGCCCTGGTTAGGGTTATGTAGGAGGCAACCAATAGATGTGTCTCTTTCACATCGATATTTCTTTCTCTCTCTCTGTCTCTCTCCCTCCCTCCCTTCCTCCCTCCCTCCTTTCCACTCTAAAAAAAGAAAAAGAAAGAAAGAAAAAAATCAATGGAAAAATATCCTCGCATTAGGATTAACAACAACAAAAAAATTTTAAATACAATGAAATAAAGAGGACCAGAAGGGAACTGATTTTGGGGTGAAGATAAAAGCTTCGGTTAAGACAGGAGGTGGAGAGAAAGCTCTAGGAAGAAACTAAGGCTACAGGGAAGTTTTCTGTTAGTAGAAGACAGCATCAATCTGAATGCCCACAAATAAACAAGTAGATAAAAAAGCTGTGGTACATAAATACAATATAACTATTTCTCAGCCATAAAAAGAATGACATCTTACCATTTGCAACAGCCAGGATGGACCCAGAGGGTATTATGCTAAGTGAAATAAGTCACTCAGAGAAAGACAAATACCATATTATCTCACTTATATGTGGACTCTAAAGAACAAAATAAGCGAACAAACAAAATAGACTCATAGATACAGAGAACAGAGTGATGGTTGTCAGAGGGGAGAGTGTTTGAGGGACTGGGTGAAAAAGGGGTAGGGATTGAGAAGTACAATTGGTAGTTCAAAATAGTCATGGGGATGTAAAGTACAGCATAGAAAATATAGTTAATGCCCTGGCCGGTTTGGCTCAGCGGTTAGAGCGTCGGCCTGCGGTATAGAGAGACCCGGGGTTGCCTGCGGTACAGAGAGACCCGGGTTCGGTTCCCGCTAAGGGCATGTATCTTGGTTGCAGTTTGTCCCTGGCCCTGGTTGGGTCGTGTGGGTGGCAGCCACTCGATGTGTCGCTTTCACGTCGATGTTTTTCTCTCTCTCTCTCTCTCTCTTCCTCTCTCTCCCTCCCACTCTGTCTGAACAAAAAATGCAAAAATGTCCTCGGGTGAGGATAAAAAAAAAAAAAAAGAAAATATAGTTAATAATATTGTAATTACTACGTATGGTGCCAGGTGGGTACTATAAATAGCAGGAGGGAACAATTTGTAAAGTATATACTTTTTTAACAACTATGCTGCACACTTGAAACTAATACAAAATAATATTAAATATAAACTGTAAGTGAAAAAAATTAAAAAGTGTAAAAAAATTTTTCAAAAAACAACAAAATCTGATCACAGCCCTAAAGCACTGCACACATCATCCATGGGGATCACTGCCAGGGGTTCCAGGAAATCTGAGAGGTACCTGTTCCACAATTAATGATAAAGTCTGCAGGTCCAGAATTCTGTTTCCCTTGTCTTCTCATCTCCCATTATCCATGGCGCCTGGCTTCTTAATCATCTTTATCAAACCTCCCTCCTTCTCAGCCTATATGCTAGTTTTTCTCGGAAGATTCCTTTCAGGACTTCAAAGAGCAAAGGGATGACATCTTAATGAGAACACTGCAGTGTCCTACCAAATGTCCCAAAGCACTTGCATCTGCAGTCACTTTTCTTCCTTCTCCCCAGCCGCAGTGGCTGAGCTGTCCCTTATCTCTTCTCTTGTACTAGATATCAGGCTTTCTCATCTTCTTAGGAATAGTTCTGCACCAGTTGTCTTTTTCACCTTTTAGATCTTTAACTTCCTCCTAACCATTTAGTTTTCAACAATATCAAAACATGCTCACTTGTACACTCAGCTTCTAGGGGCTCTCCCAAACTTGAATTCCCATTGGTTCTTTTACCTGTTCCTTCTTCCAGTTACAACTGTTGAGTTTTCTATCCTCATTGTCAAAACTTTCTGTCATTTGTTTAGCTCATCAAACCAAGCAAGGCCCACCTAATGACCTTCCCCAACTCATCATTACCATCCTAAGCAACCTCTCAATTTCATCTGATACTGTTAATCATGTCCTCCCTAAAAATCTCTCTTTTCTCCTTGTTCATGATATCATAAAGTACCGCTGCTATCTTTTTGCCTATTTGAAGCTGATTTGTAGAATTCTCTTTCTTTGTCTATTAAGTGTTTGGTTTCTTCAATATTGAGTTTCTGACCTAGGCCATTTTTTTTTTAACTCTATTGCTCTTTTCTCTCAATTTTATTCCCTATAAACCACTAAATGTGCATTAATAAACCACACAGACCACCACTGACAACGAGAATAAAATCTCATCATATACTTTGTCCAAATATATCTATTACACAGATGCAAAGAGTTACTTATATTTCCCTACCCATGGTTATATCAACTGAAATATGCAATATTTATCACCTGTGAGAATAACTGTGTTTCCACATTAATGTCACTGACAATATGGGACACACTGCAATGCAATTTAATAAAAGAAATTTGCCAATTCTGCTTCTCTCCAATCATATTTTATTGCTTTTAAATATTCCTCAGAAATATAATCCCTTGTACCATTTTTGTTTTATTTCTACACAGGCATGCAATACTGAATAATGCCTAGGTAGAACTGGTGTCTCGCTGATGTTTAGCAACAAATACTCCAATTTTATTATAGGGAGAATTGAATTTGTTCAGGAAAAATATGTTTAATTATCCCAGAAAGATCACTGCTCTTTGTTTAAAAATATCAAAATATTTGATAGAATTGTGCCACTATTCTAAAAAAACAATAAAACTTTATGATAGACAATATACTGAGAACAAATTAATAAACAGTTAATTAAAATTATTCAGATATTTATTTCTGATCACCTTTTCCTTTTCCAGATTCTTCTGTAAAAACATCACATTCACTTCTTTCAGTATATACAGATTAATCCTTTATATTCACATGAGATCCCTATTTATAATTTACATTTAGAACAGCATTCTGAATTTGAGTGTTTCTATTACTGTTTTTCACTTCCCATGCTTCAGTGACCCATTTTTTTAGCCATTTTCATGAACATTTTTGTGGACTGGGAATATAATGCAAGGAAAGAGCAACAATTAATCTTGCAAATGTAACAAGCAAAAAATAACCTAATGACACAAAATTAAACTGAGTGAGACAAGCTATATCCTGTTATCTAAACAATTAGCCAAGAAGAACTGAAAGAGGCAGTCTTGGATTGCATGCACGGCCTCTGAGAATTCAACAATAAGAATCCAAAGGGATTGTTGTGAAAAATCACAATCTATTATTTCTGACTTCTGAACTTATCTCAGTAACATTGCTTGCTTTATCAAGTGAAATTACCAATCCACTTCTGATTTAACAGAGCACCTATTGCTACCCATGCTTTAGTCTCAACACATGAAGAAACAACTGCAGATGATCTAACTGGGCAGTTTTTTCCATTCCTCTGACTTTATCATGGCATCAGTCAAGAATCCCAATTGTGGGCTGCCACCAAAATCCCTTTCCAGGTAATTTTATGGGGCACCATAATACATCAGGGACAAAATTAATTTATCATGTCCTCTTAGTTCCACCACCAACAAAATAATGTTGTTGCCTCCTGTTTCAGTGACTGGGATCAAATTCTCCTCACTCAACAAGAAACCCACTGTCATCCTTGACCTCTCTGTCTCTTTCACCCCACAAGATCTAGACATTCACCAAGTCCTACTGAGTTCTGCTCCTAATATTTATGAAAGCTACCTTTTCTCATCTTTCCCACTACCGCCAATATTCCTAGCACCAAACATTGAAATACACCCCTGAACAGTTTCCACACTGTATCACAGTGATGTCTCTAAAATGCAAATCTGATTATGTCAACCTTACATTTACAACACTTTAGTAGCTCTGTACTGATCTCATGCTAAAGTCCAGTTTCTGTTTCAGATGCCCAAACACCAAAAAAGGTATTATCCGACAGCCACCTGAGTTGGAGGGAGAAGGCTGTCTCCTCCCCGGTTCTTGTCTTCTCCTGTAAATGAATTTAAACAGGAGACCCTGACTGTGTTGTGATAAAGCCAATTTATTAAAGCAATTAAAGCAAGCAAATTTATTAAAGAAACAAGGCATGCAAATCTATTTCATCCGGCTCAGAGCACAGATGGGCTTCACTCAGCTAATCTGAGGAGCGCGTTGGGTAGGGGTTCAAGACGTTTTATACTCTCCTGTCTGTGGTTTCAAAATTCCTCTGCTGAATATCTTGGTACAGATTAATTCTCAAGGTTCCTTTCACTTTGTTGTGGTCTTCCCAGAATTCATGAGAAGCACTTGGCAATTTTTATCTTGCCAAGCCTTGAGATTGCTGGCTTCTCTGTGTAGGAAGTAAAAAATAAAACTGCTCCCTTTTTTTTTTTTCCTTTCCCTTTCCCCCTCCTTTCCTGCATTTTTTGGTTGGAGAGTCATTAATCATTTGCTTTCAAGCTCCTTGGGAAAGATAAGGACTTGTAATTTACAAGCTGGCTGTAAATTGCCCACACTGTTGGGCCTTGTTTTAAATTTCTTGTCTTAATTTCCCTATTCCACTTCTAGTGGAATTTTCCTAGCTTCTCACTGCCCTGTGATAGTTCGGCTTATGAAGTCACCCAATTTCTGAGTGGGTCACAGTCCACTGCTCTTACCCAGCCCTATCTTGTTTATTTCTCAATATGTACCATGTTCCATTTAACCTCAGGCATTTCCACATTGAATTCCCTTTGTCTTGAAAAATGCTATCCGCTGCCCCTCACTTTCCTGCAATAAAACTCATCTACTGCTTCCTTCACACAAAACTCTCTCTCTCTCTTAATTATAACCCACCTTGTCTAGAAAACACCTATCATTTCTCAGGGCTCAGTTCAAACTGATCTTCTCCTGGAAACCTTCCCGTAGCCACAGGAAAGTTAAGTTCCTCTCTATGGGCACTCATCCTTAGTTCTTTGGGCTTCCCTTGACATAGCATGTGTCACACTTCCTTGTAATTATATATATGTAGTTGCTTATATACGCCAGGACACAAAATTCTTGAGGAGACAGACTATATCAAGTTTACTCTTACACCCACAAAGCTAAGTGTAGTACCTGAAACATAATAGTTGTCGAATAAATTCATTCAACAAATATTGTTGATCATCTACTATGTAGCTGACACACTATTATGTTTACAAGTGATACCTCATTTCTAAATTCATAGACTTCTAGGACAGGGAAGACAGATTAAATGAGCTAAGTATATATATGAAAGCATGCATAAATGAATATATGTGTGACAAAAAGTATACAAAGCAAGATTAAAACTAGTTTGTCCCTCAATTAGGGCATGTGCTGCTCTTCTGTTTTGGAGTTGCTCCTCTTTATCACTGGGCAAAATTACAGATGATGGAGACTGGAGTTGAAAAGAAGTGTCTTTTCTCAATTATAAGTTTGGCTGAGAGTCACAAACACACTCATACATTCTTCTGGGAATTAATCAAAGAAAAATAGGATTTCTGCTCTTGACATCCAGCAAGAAACACAGGCAGGTTGAGGTGTAAAGAAAAGAAGAGGAGGAGTAAGTGGCAATCAGATAGCAGAAGGAACTCTCCAGAAGGTAGGCCTGGGTGCAGTGAAGGCTTCAGACTGCCAGAGACCAACAAGACGGCCTTGGGCTCCTGGGCCCTAGCAGAGAAAAAGGGCGACATAAAATTTCCCTACCTGAGATGGTTTTCTATGGCCAAAATCAGGCAATCTTAGAAGAAAGTAGGTGTTCCTGTGAACCCTAGTTTCCTCATCTCTAAACTGGGGATTACTGGTTGTGAAGATTAAACAAGATCACACTTAAAAAAGCATTTTGGGACATATAATACTATTTAGCTTTTAATTCTGTCCTTCTCTTTTAGTGATGAATTGCTCCTTCTATTTAACTTCGTTGTTTTAACTCCCTGTCCTACAGCTTACCCTATCCATGAATGAGTGTAGAGCAGAAGCCTCCATTGGTCTTAGTGAGTAAAACGTATAATGCTATATTTCCTTGAAACCCTAGGAAATGGTTCCAGGACTGAAACCAGTACTTGTTTAAGCAGCAAAGATATAGGTTGTGTAGGTACAATTTATATGTTAATTTACTCACACATGTACCTTGGCATGAAGTCAATTGGAGAAACTCATCAACATCTGGTTTTGCCTACAGTTGTACGATTCCTACTGAATATATCTCCAGAATAATTTTACAAGAGACTACTATGCATTACAGGTAGTGACCATAATTTTCACCAATATCCATTCTTTTATCCTTACTTTTAATATTGAAAAATGCCTGTAGCCACCAATTTTAGAAACGATATTTTTGAACTTCCCTTATAGCTAGGTGCAGTCATATGACTAAATTTTTCCCAATGGAATGTGAAAGGGATATACATTTTTCAGGCAACAGCCTTAAAATGTATTTCCTTATCTTCTCCTTTATCTGTTCTTCTTTATTCTGAGAAATTGCCACAGAGATGAAAGCCCACTATTGAGAATGGAAGAGACACCCCACTGCCTCAAGACTTCTCCACAGTTCCATGAGAAAGACAAATAAAGTTCTATCTTATTTGAGCCACTGTGGTTTTATATCTTTTATAACAATACTACTTATTATACTGTAACTAATATACTACCTATATGAATTAACCAGAAAATCCCAGCAGTGAATAAGAAAGGAAATGGTACCTTATATATCTGAAGGAATACATCTGTCCATGCCCGTTTACTCCAGGCTTCAAACTCAGTCATATCTATAACAAAAGAACGCTTTTTCTCAGGTATAGAGGAATACTCCGGCAAGGTATTAGCGGAATGCTTTAATAAAGAAAATATCACAACATTAATTAAAATGCAAGGCAAATGTAAGCTCAAAATTTTAACTACTTAATATAAGCTTTTTTTCTTTTAATAAAACCTTTACATGTCCTTTTTATATATTCAAGATCTCTAATTCTCCATGTGCCAGTCATAGAAACTATCAACACAGGTAACATTCTGGAACTCACAGTCCTTTATTGAGGTCATAGATTTATTAATTCAATACACCCACTAGCTCTGGGGAAGAAGTGGCAGAATGAGATGCAAAGTTATTCTGAACTCTGAACCCCTAAGAGCCACACTCTTTAAATTAAGCCACAGGGACTCAGGAGAGTGCCAAAGAACAGGCCCCTGGGTCTGTTGTTAATGTCATGTGGTGACTATAGTAATAGTACCATGACTAGAGTTGCCTCAACACCTGTGGACATCTCAAAACAATAGCCCCTTCTCAATAGATTTCCATAAAATGAGTTGTATAACTTGGAAAAAGCACTATGCATATCTTGCTTAATTTCTCCCTATTCTCCTCTAAAACTATAAAAGGGAAGTGGCGAGTGGTGGGGAAATTAAACCAGTATTTTCCTTGGAAGATATATATTCTAAAATTTCATTTTAAGAAAAAATTTACATAAGCACACACCATTCTTTATTTTTAAATCCCCTCAAAGAAGCAATTACTTATATATTTAAGAACAAGCATGTGATCATTTCTGCCTAAGCTCTACAGAGATTTTTAGACAAGTACGAAAATCAATATATCACACACACACAAAGACACACATATATATGTTGTTCAGAGAAGCATAATCCTTAGGATACTTCATAAATAAAAAATCAAGGATTCCAAAATGAAATCTTCAAATCCTAAAAATGAGTAAATTCAGAGTTCTTCGGAGAAATTATATTTCCTTACTCTAATTTCAATCCACCTCTTATAATCTTCTGGTTCAAACAGAAATTCTGGTATTACATGAGCAAAACATGCTCCGTGAGTTCTAAAATTAAAAAACATAAATCCAAATTATTATAGTATAATACTTACAATTTGTGTATCTTATGCATTCCAACTTAGATTAAATTATTTCAATGTCACATAGGTTGTTTATTAAACTTTAATTTTAATATTTAAAAATTATATAATTAATTAAACATTTTTCCTTTAACAATAAAATGTTTCCTTTGGAGAACTAATTAATGAGAAAGATCTTACTAAGTACCTTTAATCATCCACATCTGCCCTTATATGTTAATGGAATATAGGGAGTCCTGATTTAGACCCAATTGTCAAAGCACTAACCATTTTTTAAAACAAAATTCACATTTTATTTACATTGAAATAAACTATACAAATTGACTTTCTTCACACACAAGAAAAGAGCAATATATTTTCTATTGTTCCTAGATAACCATAAAACACACTTTTGTAGGTTTCCCAGGTTTTGCTTATAAATCAAGATGAGGCAGTAGATATAGTAATAGAAAAAGACATAACATTATAAAATAGTTTGAAATTAAATAAAATAGTTTTAAAAAGTTTGAATACAGTAAAACATCTAATAAATTGATCATTAGTCACCCAATGTTCACGGAATGCCTTTCACCGCATATGCCTGAATATAGAAAACCTCCAATATAACATAACCCATCACTAATTTTTCCAAAGAGAATATCCAAAATGTGTGGCCTCTTTGACTGTATAAACTTAGAGTAGTATAGCCGAAGAAGCAGCAATTATCTATTTATATTATTTTATACATTTAAAATCTAATGTTTATTTATATTACTTGATACATTTAAAAATATTTATCATGTTTAAGACTTTACAATTTTTTCACTGTCAAATTCCTTGAAATATTTGAATCCAAACTCTTCATATGCATGTCCATCACCACCAGAACCTACAGACATCTAATACAGTTTTGCTGGAGTGTTCCCTAGAAGAGAATTGGGTATTAGGTATAACACATTGAGCAGAGCATAGAATCCCACTCACTGTAAGCATTTACCAGAGAAGAATGCCTCATCTAGTACTCAACTTTGGAACATCCTTAGCAGTTTGCAGTTCTAGAACTACTAAAAAGTGAAATAAAGAAAAAACAGAAAGGAGCCTTAAGATGATTCTGAAAGCTCAAACCTTGAAGACAACACAGATGAATATAAGAAGAGAGAACTAAGGAACCCTAGTGGGGATGGAAGCAATGAACATAGTTCTAGAGTTATGCTGACGTGGCCCTGGGCTGGTAGAAGCTAGTGGAAGAAATTGTGCTGCACACATATAAAGTTCCTTTGTTTGGAAGTCAAACATCATCCTTTTCCTTTGACTTTTATACATTTCCTATCTGCACCTACATTATTTTTATGAATCGTCATTACAATCAAATTACTATAGGTTTAAATAAAATCTAATTTTAATGGAACACTACTTCTTAGCAGGAAGAGCCAACCGAAAGCCTATGTAAAAAAGCAATGGGATGATGCCACATTAAATTGAAATCCTAGAGAGTGAAACAAAGACATATGAAGAAAATGGAATACTTCCTTGCATCCAAAGCCAAGACAGGATCTCAGGAGGAAATGACCACTTTTATAAAATGCTACTGAGAGCCTAAGGAAAACTATCAGGGAGCCATTAAACTAAGAGCTTCTTGAGGAAGGAGACCACATGGTATTCATTTGAGTATTACATAGTGTCCAGCAGAAAGTAAGCCCTTAGTAAAAAGTTGAGAATGTAAGAATGCGGTCTTGTATTGGTAAAGATAAGAAAACAGGCCCAAAATGGAGTCGCATATGCTAAGCCCCACATCACCAAACAAAGACTTAATTACATTTTGGCTCTCCCAGAAATGGAATCTTAAACCATTCGATCAGAATTGCCTGATCAGTATTAGTTAGGTCATCTCCCTGACAGTAGAGCCCTGACATCCCCTAAAGCAGTGGTTCTCAACCTTCCTAATGCTGCGACCCTTTAATACAATTCCTCGTGTCGTATGTGGGCGTAGTTGTATGTGGGTGGACCCGCCTGGAGACGGATAGAGGAGCGGTGTCTCAGTTCCTAAGACCATCAGAAATATGTTTTTGATGGTCTTAGGTGACCCCTGTGAAAGAGTCATTCGACCCCCAAAGGGGTCGACAACCCGCAGGTTGAGAACCCCTGCAGCCTAAAGGAAAGTAACCTTGCAATAACCAATCTACTTTTTGTGCTAGAGGGGTGAAAAATGTTTGCCTTCTTTCTTTCTAGGTTCTTTGGCTGGTCTAATAATAAAATTGATGTAATACAGAGAAACAGAAAGAAAAATTTAATTGTGTACCTATGGGAGCCCCACAAATACATGAAACTCGCAGGCAGTCAGGTAATTGAGGAAAAGGGGGTCAGGGTCTGGAGCTTCAAAAGGGAGGAAAACAATTCAAAGGAAGATGAGAAGAGTGGATGTTTTGTCAACAAATGTTTGCCCTGCCATGCAGATAAGTCTTTCTGATATAAAAAGTTATCTCTAATAATAGCTCTCTTATTGGCACAGGCTCCCTAGCTTAATTCTTTTAGGCATTTAAGGGAGAGGAAAGCTCTTCCAGACTCTGCTGGGTCTCAACTGCCTTCAGCTCAAAACAATTCACATGCCAAAGTGATGCATTTTGGGGTGTCACATCCCCCCATTGCCTAAGTACAACTTCCTTGTTCATGCTCCCTTCTGCTTATAAAATCTCTTGCCTTGCATAGCTCTTCAGAGCTTCTCTCTCTCTGCTCCATTGGATACTGTCCGATTTATGAACTCTTGAATAAAGCCAATAAGATCTTTAAAATTTTGTCAGTTGAATTTTGTTCTTTAACAGCATTTTACAGATGCTGTTATGAAGTGAAAGGCAGCACACTAGGCCACCCCAAAATATGCCCCTTTGGTGCACTGATTATTTTCAGAAACAACAGACACAGGAAAAGCTCTGAAAACAGAGCAGAAGCCACCCTTTTATAATGAAAATCTACACTTATAAAAGAAACTACGTTAGAAAAAAAAGCCCTTACGTGGAAGAGAGCTATTACTAAGATGACTTTTCACCTGAGAAACTTACCTGTGTGGCAGGGCAACCCATGTTTAACAAACATTTCCTTCTCCCCCCTCAGTCCCTCCCCTCCTTAGCTCAGAATGTTATATAAGCCTCAATCTTCTGGTTGCCTTTGACTCTCATATCTTTGTTGAGCTACCATACTTATGCCTGTAATTAAATTTCTTTTCCTCCTGTTAATCTGTCTTTCATTACAGCCAAGAACCTAGAAGGGAAGAGGAAAAATTAGTTTTCCTCCCCTATAAAAAGCTTGTTTCTTTCTTTTGATTTTGCATCTATCTGAAGGTCTAAAACATCAGTGCCTAACAGTATTTACAATTATGTTTTGTCAATAATTTATGCATGGGGTGGTGGACGCACAATACAGTGTATAGATGATATGTTGTGGAATTGTGCACCTGAAACCTGTATAATTTTGTTAACCAGTGTCATCCTAAAAAATTCAATAAAGAGGAAACTTTTTAAAAATAGTTTATATCTGGTCAGTAGTTTTATAATGTTGACTTTCATAATTGATTTGATTACACTTTTACAGTCTAGGCTTTCTATTTGCATATTTCTTCCAAGTTTACTCTGAGTAGAATGAAATAAAATTAGACATAATGAGTTATTAAATTCTAAATTTAATCTCCAAAAATAGAGGTGTCTCATTAATTGCACAAAATAAATTTAATTCCGCTTGTACACAAAAGTCTTCACCCGCTATCACCAAATTTAAATGGGGAAGCTAATAACATTTACTATCATCTTATACATTTATTTCCATGATGAAACATATTTTGGATTAATGACCCAATTTTATTAACCATACTGCCACATACTGAATGTTGAGAAATTTTATCAGAGCCAACATATCCTGAGAGGCATATATTTGCTGCTAAAAGAGCACTACATTTGAATGGCTTGGCATTAATGCCAAAATCATTCTTCTATACCTGCATCCTCATATCACGAAATGTCAAAACAGAAACCTCTCATGTTAATGTCAACACTACTAGAGTTGTGCCAACAATAATGCTACAAGAATAGCATGACAATCACAAGTACCATAGAGTTTAATGATGCTATCAGAAAACCATTTGGTTTCTATATTGTACAAATAGTAAAGATCAAGTTAAGTATCCACACCTCCTCCTTTTGTTCATAACTAATATCCCATTAAATTTTAAAAGCATAACTAACTTCCTAAAATAAGAATGGCATTCTAATTTTTGCTTTATTGAATGAAAGCATTTACTTTATTGAATCAATCAAGGACCAAAAGTATGAAGTGGTAAAGTTAAAAGAAAAGTCATAGGCTTTTAAATTTAAACTTATAAAAATTTAAATAAACGTTCTGTTTATCTTATAAATATAGAGTTTATAAATACTGGTTTTCTGGTATTCTTTATGTCAAGAGACATTTATATCTAATAGGAGAACAGAATTTTAAAGATATTCTATTTCAATGACAGCAATACCAAAAAAAATCAGTGTTCAATATGTCACTAATGGTTATTGTATTAGGATAATTGAAGAAAACATTTTAGCACATGAAAGCCATTAATCATAATTTATTACACTTCATCATCATCATTATCATCACTCTCATCTACTATGTGTCATGTATTACACATTTCATTATTTCTATTCTTTTATCAACCAAGTCTGAGAATTATAACCTTCAATTGTACAGATATTGAAATTGGGGCTTAAACAGGTTAAGTAACTTGTGCAAAGTTACAGGAGTATAAAAGAGCTAGAATTTAAAAGCTATCCTGATTTAAAAGCTATCCTCTTTGACCTCACTTCAGTTTGCTCTTCCGTAATCATTTACTTGCTTTGCAATATTTTCATTCTTAGATGTAATTCCATTAAATAAGATATCATAATGGCCATGTATAAGTAAGGACATAAAGTTTTTTCATTCTTTTTTTTTTTTAATTGATGTATTACAGAGTGAGAAACATCCATGTGAGAGCAAAACATCAATTGGCTGCCTCCTGCACACTCCCTACTAGGATCAAGCCCACAACCTGGGCATGTGCTCTGACCCAGAACTGAACTAGCAACCTTTTGGTGCATGGACCAATGCCCAATCAACTGAGGGTGAAATGCATAGGTTTTTAAAATAAAACAAGTGAAGTCACACATGGAGTTGAATTTACTTCTAAAGGAAAGTGAGCTGTTTTTCCTTAAGTGTACTTATTTTGGTAAATGAACAATTTTTTAAAAAATTAATGGAATTAGAAATAAGAGTTAAAGTAGTTTTATATTATGTAACATCCTACTTCAGTGTAGGATACACAGTGTTTATATTCTGCTTCTTTTTTGTTTTATATTATGAAAATTATAAATAAAAAATGTTTCTTAATAAAAATTAATCACATTATAAAGTTATTATAGGTTACAAATAAAATTATATCAGAAGATATTAGACACTGTACTAATCTGCTCAGGCTGCCATAATAGAATACCACAGACTGGGTAGGTTGCACATGAGAAAATTATTTTCTCATAGTTCTGGAAGGTAAAAGTCCAAGTACAAAGTACCTGAAAATTAAGTTTCTGGTGAGACCTTTCCTCCAGGTTTGTAGATAGCTGCCTTCTTGCTGTGTACTCCCATGACCTTTTCTCTGCTCCCACAGAAAGAAAGAGAAGGAGAGAGAACTCTGATGTCTCTTCCTCTTTTTATAAAGGTACCAGTCTTATCAGTTTAGGGATTAACCTTTATGACATCATTAATGCATTAATGCAATTATATCCTTAATGATCCTATCTCCAGAAAGAGTCACATTGAGGGTTAAGACTTCAACATGCAGACTTTGGGGGAACACAATTCAGTCCATAACAGGCACAAATGACAAGAAATATTATTCATATCATTTCACATTTAGCAATACAAATGTTATTGTAAAATATAACAGCAATTGCATATTTTTTTATAATACAACACATATGATACTGTTATGGGCTGAATTGTGTCCCCCTAAAAGTCATATGTTGAAACCTAACCCTCAGTAGTTCAGAATGTGACTATTTGGGATTAAGGCCTTTAAGACAGTGAGTAAGGTAAAATGAGGCTGTTAATGTGGTCCCTAATCTAATCTGACTAGTGATTATAAAATGAAACTTGGACACAAGGGGTACGCATGTACAGAGGAAGGCCATGTAAGGACAAGAGGCCATCTGCAAACTAAGCAGAGAGGCTTCAGAAGAAACCCAATCTCCCTGCACCTTGCTATTATTGTACTTCCAGCCTCCAGAACTACAAAAAAAAAATTGCATTGTTTAGATCACCCAGTCCATGGTATTTTGTTATGATCGTCCTAGCAAATTAATACAGGTATGATGGGAAAATGCCTTAATAATTAAAGTCATTCTTAAGTGTTCACAGTTTAGTATTACAAATAAAGTTCCATGTATAACATTCATAGCACCCACCCTAATTTTCTCCAATTTGACTCTCTCATTGCTTTACTTTTCTTCCTTTACCCCTTAATTTTATATTTCACAAAGTTTTCCTCGTTCTTATTAGACTAAGGCTCACTTTCAAAGCTTTATTGCTTTTAGCACAGGAGCTTAAAAAGCAAAGCTCTGTGAAAGAAAATGTTAAATATTGAATGACCATTGGACCCATTTTGTGCTATCAATGACCCTCGGTATTAAGAGATGCCAGAAGAAAAAGATGTGGTTCCTGCCCTCAAATGCTCACATGCTCACAAACTAGTGGGGTATACAGACTCATGAATGAGTCAGTGGGTTGCTATTTTTCTTAAATGATAGAATCTTCCTCATTATCCCGCCCAGATTAGGTATAGAGGAACAGAGAGAAAATGCAGACTTGAATCTTCACACATCTTAGCCTCTTCTGATCTGAACAGTCTCTTTATGGTAATTCTGTTCCTCAGGATAAACAATCGAAATTTCAGATCTCTTCTACCCACCACCAGATGGCATCTGGGAAGAGGTAGATTTATTGTCAAGAAAATAAAGCTTTAACTTCAGGTTTCCTCACTTTCATGAGTCATTTCTAAAGTCATGTATCTAATTTTTGTATTTTTAATTTAATACTATTTTATAAAGGAGGGATCTCCAAATTGTATAAGGTGTCTCAGGACATGGATCATCTCTGAATTTGGGCTTACAGGAAGTAGGTGAGAGGGATCTTGTATCTGTACATGAAGATCTCTGACTACTTTTCTACATACTTAGTCTCTTTGGCAGTGTCCCCTCTCTGCCTGAAGCTCAGATGCTATGAGGGCATCTGCCACTAAGGCCTGGCTTGAGGATCCAGTATCTCTCCTCTTAGCTTCATCAAGGACCAAGCGGTCCCTCCTAACAGACCGGGCCACTCTCCAGTCCTCATACATTTGTCATTCATATTGTGGCTTCAGAGCCAGCCACCCTTCTGTATCTTTATTTGCCAACCCAGCATCCCCTATAACAGGATGCCTAGGTCTTCCTCCAATCACCTTCAATGACTTAGAAACTTCTAGATCTCTTCCAAGTGATAAGAAACTCAAGCTAGTTTGGGCTATTACCATGATAGTGAGAATTTAAGAAATGAAGGAAAACTATTTTGTTCAGTACCATTTCTAACTTTTAAGACCATAGTATTGCTAGGAACTTAAAAAGTCTGATCTAGAAATTTTAAAAAATCGAACACCAAATTTTAATTTGCATTCCTGCTATAATTTTCCTCTTCTCACCTTTATCCCCATTCCTGCTAAGGTAGATAAATATCTCAACTTTAGGGTAGATTCCATACACAAATAAGCCAAATTTAAAAACATAGTAATGTTTTTCAAAATATATTAACCCTAATGTATAAATAATTGCAAATAAAAGGTATTATTTTAGTGATATAGGAGCATGGAAAATGGAGTAATACACTACCTATGAATGAGGGGAGTTCCAGTGGACACTGATACTGCAAATGTAGGCAAAAGAAATTCTAGATATTAACCAACACTCCACTTACAGTTTTAATGAGCATTGCTTTTCCATTTCTTGGCCACTTGCCATTTACTCTTCGAGAAACACAGACATGATGACAAATATTTTTCCTATATTTTCTATCAACAATTTATGAAAATTTTCACCTGCCCATTATTTTCATATTGAAATACTTTACCTATGCAGACTAAAAGTTCACGGTGCCCATAACTTGAGATTATACTAACAGTAATCTGAAGAATAAATTATTGGTTACACTGCATTTTTGTTCAATGTATTTTATACTTGACTTATATGAGGATTCTCAAAATGAGACCATGGACAACAAGTATCACTATCACTTGAAATTTGTTATAAATGCAAATTAGCATTATAAACTTTGTGGGTAATGGTCAGCAACATGTTTACCATGCCATGATTTGGATACATGCTGAAGTTTGAGACTGATTGCCTTAGATTATAAATTCAATAGGACATGAAATGCTTATTTGCTATTATTTTACCAAGGTATGTATTACATTTTTATGTATATTGTGGAAACTTAGTAACTATTAAAAAAAAAAACAAATAATATCAAAATCTATCTAGTTATCTACCTACCCATCTAATTACTTATCTATCTATCTGAGCATAATTACATTTTTAAATTAGCACAAGCCTGCTCTTACCTGAGAAAGTCAAGAACCGAAGAATGTTGCATATGAAGTTGAAGGACCCTTTCAGTATAATCCACAGGTAAAGACTGACTAGAATTAATTCCATCAGGCATTACTCCACTCAAGTGGAATATCACATCATAAATGGTTTTAGTATATCTTAAAAAGTCATACGGTTTGGAATTTTTTTGGCCTAATGAGAATGATGCGAAGGCTTGCATTTTATTCACATCCCTATGGGAAAACAATTTTAAAAATGTATTTAAATATCAAAAAGTTATGTTGTGGAAAAAATTTTCCAATGACCAAATAAAATTCTATTCCAAATCAAATGAAAAATAAATTATAAACCTCATTTATTCAGATACCATTTCTTAGTAAAACTTAGATTTTTTCACAACCCCAGAGCATCCCAGCATCTTGTATTAAACACATATCATTATCTAATGTTGGAATTGTCAAGTATAAAATACGAGATTGTGATTAGAAAATGTAAGTGCCTTGGCTAAACAATATAGGGGTTAAATTTGGAACTATCACCTACTAGCCTCGTAATTCACCAAATTCAATTTTATATGCTATAAATTAAAGATAATAATGCCTTTAAAAGTTTCCAGGATATATTTTAAGCATTCATCATACATGTTTATATAAAGACAAATTTGCACACATATTCTCAATATTTTACTTTTAATACTTACAAAGGCACATCTTGCACGTTGGCCTCATTAAGTAGAAATTCTCATTTTAATGATAAAGTCTAGAGATCTAGTGTTCCCGTGTATTTCTTTGTTCTTTAAATAGGACAGTATAATCTATTTCCTGACACCTCTTGCACCAAGTTGTGATATATGCTCATTTTTAAATGGAATAAAAACTTCCAACCAATTTTGCCATCTACATTTTATCAAATATCTAATACCATACTATTGAGTAGTAATCAGTCACAAATCTATCTCTAGCTTATACTGACAAATAAAAAGTGCCAAAAGGGGCTATTTTGAATGGCAGTTCACCAGTTTGCTACCTAGTAGGTCTGTATCACATACTACAGGAGAAAGAACATTGGTTTGACTACTATTTGCTCAGATCCTGGTTCTGCCACTTACTCTGGGACGTTATGGAAGTTACCTGACCTTTCTTTCCTCAGCTTCATCATAAGTACTGTATATAATAGAGCTAGTACATCCTCAAGTTATCAATAAACAAAACAAATATTTCATGGAGAAAAATAACACCATCATAGGCCTTCAAATATTTCTACCAAAAATTCTGAAAAAAAAAAAAAAAAAAGGTCTATGCAGAAGCTTTTTAGTTTGAAGTACTCCCATTTATTTTTCCCTTTGTTTCTCGTGCCCTATGTGATGTATTGGTGAAAATTCTGCTCTGTGAGATGTCTGAGATTTTGCTGCTTATTGTTTCTTCTAGGATTTTTATGACTGACATTTAAGATTTTTATTAATTTTGAGTTTATTCTTGTGTATGGTGTAAGTTGGTAATCTAGTTTCATTTTTTATGTATGTACCTATAAAATTTTCCCAACACCATTTACTAAAGAAACTCTATACCATTGTATGCTCTTGCCTCCTTTGTCAAATATTAATTGAGCATAATAGCTTGGGTTGATTTCTGGAGTCTCTGTTCTGTTCCACTGATCTATATGCTTGTTCTTGTGCCAGTCTCAGGCTGTTTTGATTACTATGCCTTTGTAATAGATCATAATATTGGGTATTGTGATAGCTCCAACTTTTTTCTTTTTTAAGATTGCAATGGTTGTTTGGGGTCTTTTTTGGTTCCAAATAAACTTTTGGCATATTTGTTCTAGATCTGTGAAATATGTCATTGGCATAGGAGAAAATATTTGCCAATGATAAATTGGATAACGGGTTAATTGCCAAAATATATAAAGTACTCATATGACTGCAAAAAAAAAACTGCATACAACATGCAAAGAAATTAAACTCGACCATCTTCTTACACCACACGCAAGAATAAACTCAAAATGGACTAAAGATTTAAATGTTAGACTCGCAGCTGTAAAAATCCTAGAACAAAACATAAGCAGTAAAATCTCAGACATTTCTAGTAGCAATATTTTTTCTGATATATCTCCTCAGGTAAGGGAAACAAAATAAAAAAAAAATAATAAACAAATGGGACTACATCAAACTAAAGAGTTTTTGCACAGCAAAGGAAACCATCAACAAAATGAAAAGAAAGACCCTTGAATGTGAGAATATATTCACCAATGATACATCTGATAAGGGGTTAATATCCAAAATGAATAAAGAACTTATACAACTCACCACTAAAAAACAAAACAAAAAACAATCCAATTAAAATATGGACAAAATACCTGAATAGACACGTCTCCAAAGAGGACATATAGATGGCCAATAGACATATAAAAAGATTCTCAATGTCACTAATCATAAAAGAAATACAAATTAAAACCACAATGAGATACCATCTCACAGCTGTCAGAATGGCTATCATCAATAAATCAACAACCAACAAGTGTTTGTGAGGAGTGGAGAAAAGGGAACCCTTGTGCACTATTGGTGGGTATGCAGATTGGTGCAGCCACTGTGGAAAGCAGTATGGAGTTAACTCAAAAAATTAATAATGGAACTGCCTTATAATTCAGTGATTTCTCTTTTGGGAATTTATCCAAAGAATCCTGAAACACTAATTATAAATAATACATGTACCCCTATGTTCATAGCAGCATTATTTACAATAGCCAAGATTTGGAAGCAGCCTAAGTATCCATCAGTAGATGACTGGATAAAAAAAGCTGTGGTACATTTACACAGTGGAATACTACTCTACTATGAAAAGGAAGATAATTTAACCTTTGTGAGAGCATGGATGGACCTGGAGAACATTATGATAAGTGAAATAAGATAGTCAGAGAAAGTCAAGCATCATATGATTTCACTCATATGTGGAATTAATGGACAAACTGAACTACCAAAAGCAAAACACAGAGAGACTCACAGATGGAGAACAGACAGCTTGGGGGATGTGGAAGGGGGCAGGGATTGAGTAAAAATTTAGAAAAATTAAAAAAAAAGAAGTCGAGACATGGACAAAAGTGTGGTGATTGCAGAGATGAAGGGAGACGGGTGGAGGTGGTAGAGGGTATAGAGGGGATAAAAGGTGGTGGAAAATATTACATTAAACTTATTTTTTTATTATTTATTTATTTATTTTTTTGTTACAGATGTTTCTCCTTTTTTACCCCCTTGGCGCCCCCCTCGGCACCCACCCCACACCCACCCCACACCCACCCCGCCGCCGGCTTTGTTGTCCATGTCTATTGGTTATGTATAAAAAGGAGGCACTAAGGAGTAAAAAGAAAGTAGAGAGGATGAAAGGATGTTCTATTTCACGAGTGGTATGCAGTCAATTGGGTATCCATATTTTAAGAAATTAGGAAAAATAAAATATACTTTGACCTTTATCTCATAATATATACAAAAGTAAATTCCAAGAGGACAGAATATCTAACAGGAAACACAAAACAACAAAGCTGATAGGAATAACAAAACAGGCTGTCTTCATGTCTCAGGGAAAGAAAGATTTCTTAAAGAGCAGACAAAAGCAGTAACAATTCAGGTAAATAGTAAAAAATTAGACTATATTAAAATTTTAAAGAAGCTATTTGCAATGCATATAACCAATAGCAAATATATATCCAATATTCATAAAATTCCTCAAATAAATAAGAAAAAAAGAGAATCCATTTTCTTAATGGGGAAAACATCAACTGGCTCTTTATGATATAACATTTTCAAAAGACCAAGAACATGTAAATTATCTATTATCAATAGCAGTAAGATGTCAGTCCAAATCACATCTACCAAAAAGAGATAACTTTGAACAGACTGGCAATATTAAATATTTATTAGGATGTAGAACAACTGAAAATTTCATTACTACCAGTGGGAGTACAACCACCCTAAGAAACTGTTTGGAAGTACTTCCTAAAACTAATTATATTTCTATCTTAGGATCCAGTAATTGTACTCTTATATATATACCTTTCAGAAATATGTATACTAAAAGACATATACTAAAAATTTTATACCAGCATTATTCAGAACAGAAAATCCAAGAGCCAGTGAAATGTCTATCAACAGGAAAATGAATAAATTGTAGAATATTCATACAATGGTCTAGTATGCAGCATGAAAAATAAACTACTGAATCACATAAACATAATATTGAGAAAAAAAAAATCCAGACACACTAAACACTGCAAACTGTATGATTATTCTTATATAAAGTTCAAACACCAATAAAAATAAACTTTGGTGTTAGAATTCAGGATAATGGTTGCCTCCTTGGAAGGTAGAAGGGGGCACAAGAGGGAGGGGAATTTGGGGATACTAGCAAGGTTCTAGGTTTTGGTCCAAGGGTTGGCTCCACATGTGTTTGTATATTTATAATTCTGTATATTACATGGCGACAAAATTATTAAAATTTAAACAAACCTTAAACTCGAGTTTATAGATCTATGGTTGGGTGGTAAAACAAAACAAAAGGCAAGGAAATGATTATCATACACTTCAGGCTAGTAGTTTCCTTTCAGTTGGAGAGATTTGGTTGCCTTAGGAAGGTCACAAGAGACTTCTTGGGTGCTAGCAAAGTGATGCCTGCACAGGGGTTTGCTCTAGTAGTAAACTGAGGGGTTTGTGCTTGGTTGGGAACCTTTTTCTATGTGTGTTTTATTTCATGATTTAAAAAGTCAAAATGAGCCCGGCCTGTGTGGCTCACTGGTTGAGCATCAACCCATGCACCAAGAGGTCACCAGTTCAATTCCCGGTCAGGACACATGCCCAGGTTGTGGGCCCGATCCCCAGTGGGGGGCATGCAGGAGGCGGCCAATCGATGTTCTCTCTCATCGATGTCTCTATTTTTCTCTCTCCTTTCCTCTCTCTCTAAAAATCAATAAAGAGATTTTATTTATTTTTATTACAGATGTTTCTCCTTTTCCCCCCACTGATTCCCCCTCCTCCTCCCTCCCCGCCTGTCCCCAGCTTTGTTGTACATGTCCATTGTTCATGCATACATGCATATAAGTTCTGTGGTTTCTCTTCCCCACCACCCCCTCTTCTGGGGATTGTCAGTCTGTACCCCACTTCCACGTCTCTGGGACTACCCCATTCCTCAGACTGTTATGTTCATTATATTCCACAAATAAGTGAGATCACATGATACTTGTCTTT